AACTCAGGCATCAATTTATTAGGGAATGAAAAGTAAAATGTGGCAGATGAAATTCCATATTAGACATACTACATACACATACACAACCCCCCTCAACAGAAAGATCCTAAACAATGTCAAGTAAAAAAAGAAACAATAATTTCCCAAAGTAAAAGAACATGAATTCTCAGCTTGGAAGGGTCTACTGACTGCCCTTAAATAAAAAAGACTCACACTCAAGCACATTATCATGGAATTTCAAGGATTAAAAAATAATATCCAAAAAGCTTATAGAGATTGGGAGACAACGAAGGTCACATACAAATGAAGAAGAATCGGACTGTCTTTGGACTTCAACAGCAACAATGAAAGAAAAGCAACGACTTCTAAACTTTGAATAGAAATGAGTACTTTGAGTAGAAATTACTTTCAACCTAGAATTTTATACCCAGCCAAATTACTGATCAAATGTGAAGGCAGAATAAAGATTTTTTTGTTCAAACTAACAACTCAAGAGTTCTTATTCCCACATATCATGCCTCAGAAAACTACTACATTTACTCCAAGGAAATGAATAAACCAAGGTGGGGAAGCATGAGAAACAAGAGATCTTATACAGGAGAAAGGAAAAGAGAATTTTAAGAATGATAAAAAGAAACATCCCAGGATAACAACTGTGAAACAAGCTCAAAAGGTAACCAGTCCAGACTGCATTAAAGAAGCCAAAGGGTTCCAGGATACCTGTCTCAGGAAATGAAACAAAAAAGTATTAACTCCCAGGAAAAACATGAGAGGAAATGATATCATAGTACCCAAGAAGGATTGTTGTGAATATTTACCCAGTTATAATACCGTAAACATTGATTATTGACTTAATAAACATCTGTGATAACTATATTGAGAAGAGGGGAGAGGCAGTGGGCATGTGTTTGGGTGAGATAATTATGAAACACCAAGGAATACACTTTGCTTAGAAGAAAATCAACAGATAATGTTTAAAATTGTTGTATCAAGAAATATCAACAGGGGTTAGGGTAAAGCTCAGTGATGGAAAGAGCAAGTAAATGTGCCTATCATGCCCAAGGCCCTGGGTTCACTGATTAGCAGGAAGGTAGAGGGAGGAAGGGGAGGAAAGCACAGGAGAGAGAGAGTTATAAATAACATAGGAGGAAACAGCTAAGGATAGCATCTAAAGTGTAGAAGCTGCAACAAGGGACAGCAGCATTTTTCATACAGTACTCTAATTTTTTTTTTTTTTTTTGGTACTGGGGATTGAATTCAGGAGCACTGGACCACTGAACCACATCCCCAGACCTATTTTGTATTTTATTTAGAGATAGGATCTGACTCAGTTGCTTAGTGCCTCACTTTTTGCTAAGGCTGGCTTTGAACTCAAAATCCTCCTGTCTCAGCCTCCCAAGCCACTGGAATTATAGCCATGTGTCTCTGCACCTGCCATACAGTACTCTAATTTTAAATTCCACTTTTTAAAATGGTGATAAAACAAGGAACTTGAACAATCTTTCAGTTAGTAAATCAGACCTTTACAGTGTCATTTCATGGTGTTAAATTCTAGTTTTTTTCTGATGGAAAAACTGAACTGCTAATAAAATCAAGTTTAATTATTGATGTGAACATAATACAAACAGCCCTATGTTTGAATCCCAACTCTACCACTTATTCAGAAGTAGGGCAAGTTACCTAATCATCCTGTCTATGTAACCACCTGTAGAGTGGTTTTGCAAGGTAATTAAGTGAAAGCATCTGTAGGGCTTGACCTATTAACAGACTTAGGTACTTTCTGTGAGTCTTTCTGTTCCCAGCTACAAACCCCCATTCTGACCCCAAGCTGCCTTGTTGGTCAAAGAGGATAGAGACACATGGACAACTCAGCACATATCCCTCTTCATGCTGGAAAATCAATCATGATGAGTAAGCAGACTTATCTTTGTATATGAAGGGCAGTATTATTCTTGTTATATGAAAGAGATTATCCCCATTATCCACATTCTGGATTATTGCCTGCTCTCAAAAATTGTCCCAATTAGTCTACACTAGGACAGAACCATTTTTTCACTGAGGTCTCCTTTGTAGGGTCATTAACATATTTAAAAACAAACTGTACATCCCATCAGTCTTCATCCTTGCTTTCAATGCACAACCTCAAAAATTTCTAAGGTAGGCCTATCTGGCCCCCAGCTGGCCTGGGGGCACCTCCTACTTACAGAAACAAGGAAAAAAAGAAAAAAAAAGGCAGCCCAACACAGTTAACTGAACTGTTTACCATTCCATTAATACAGATAAATTCATAATCCCTACAAAGTACAAAGATATCTTAAAACAAAGAGTATTAGAGGACTGTCCTTATCACTAGGTCACCCATCTTTACTTGCATGGCCAATCAAAATATCTTAATTGATTTTATATACAGTACTCATACACATTTCCAAAAACACAGACATTATAAATCAGTAAGATTGTATCATTAATTCAACAAACACCCAGGGGATGAAAAAATAAGATATAATCCCACTCTCACATGTATGGAGAAAGAAAAAAGGACAAAACAATTGAGAGCAACAGAGAACAATGGCAACAAAGTCATTAGAAACAAATTAGAGCAATTCTAGATTATCTGGTATAAAATAAGGAAAATTACAAAAACTGAACACACAATGAGATTCCTGACAACCCAAGTGTAAAGAGAAACGGGCCAGCATACAAAACAAAAAATGGCCTAATGAAAGGCAGTCATTTGTATAAAAAAATAATAAAAATAAAAGCCTAGCACTAGGGTCTTAAGAATTTGTCTCTGTTTTAGAAGGACAAATTAAATATATATATATATATATATATATATATATATATATATATATATATATATATATATATATATAAACAGTGCTCTGGATGGCAATAAAGAAAATTTTTTTTCAGGACCCCCTTTGGTATGTATCGATTCTAGATAAGATGCCTAACACTATATATTAGGAAATGAATAAGCTTACATGAGACCTTAGAAAAAATAAAATAAAAGTATACTGCTTTCAGGTGATACATTTATTTCTGTCACTTAGTTTATTCTAGTTGTCCTCATGGCTTCAGGTTCCATGCACCCTGGGGGGGTGAGGGTCCATCAAGCCTCAGGGCCTCAGATATACTATGGAAGTACTCTACCACTGAGCTACAGCCCCTTCTGGATTTTTATTTTTTAAAACATTTTTTTTCACAATACCTTTATTCTATTTATTTTTATGTGGTGCTGAGGATCAAATCCAGGGCTTCACACATGCTAGATAAATACTCTACCACTGAGGTATAGCCCCAGACCCACTCTTGGATTTTTATGAATATGTATTTTGTTCCCCTAGGATTATAAGATCCTCAAAGCTTATGTTGTCTGTTTCCATTTGAACTTTCTTTGTTCTTTGTAAACAGCTTTTTTACAGTTTCTGCTCAATTCTAATGACTGATAAGATATTATGCAGACAACATTTGTATTATTTATTAGTTTTCCCTGTGACATTATAAATTCCATGAGGACATGGACAGTGCGTCTGGATCATGGCTGTATCCCAAGTTTCAGGTAAATGATCACTCCATAAGCATTCACTGGATGAATGAATTAAATAAAGCAAGTAAAACCAAGAAATAACAAAAGAAAGAAGAAATAATTATTAAAACAGTACACTCTGGGTTCTAGGGTCGGTTCCAACAAGAGCTGGATGACTTTACACAAATTACTTCTTCTGTCAAATAGGAAAAATTAACAACTACTTCCAAGTTATTATAAATATTAAGTATTTTATATAAGTATTTAGCACATTATTTGAAAAGGCGCTCAATAAATATTCTCTTACCTTCTCTCACTCCCTTAAAATCATATGTACATAAAACAGTCCCTTCCAAGAATAATTATTTCAGTAAAAATAAACTTTTTCTTGAAAAAAATAAATTTTAATATCTTCAATCTTTAAAACGGAGGGAAGAATAACTTGTGGATCACTTCCAAAGTAGGAAGAACAAGTTAAGGAAAAACTGTCAAGAATAAGCCTTAAAGTAACAAAAGGAGACAAAAATTACCTATTCATCTAATGCCAACAGAGATTTTGAAGAAATTGTTTAAGGAGGATGGAAAAGTGATTGTTTTTAAATAGTTTCAGAAGTATTTCATGAGTGTTTACCGAATCTGAGTTGAAGCCTGAAAAAAAAAAATCAATCATTTTGAAACTTCTCATTTAAAAGTGGAACAAGAAACACTTCCATTCAACCATAAAACATCCCTTATGACCTGCCTGACTCCAGTCAGCCTTCAGTTTTCTCCTCCCACTTCGAGCTTAATCTAATACTTGGCTGTTTCCTTTGCATCACTGCTTACACACGCTCGGCGCAGACTTAGTTCTGTCATTCCTATAATTACCACACCCCCGTCAGCCGCTCTGGGCCCATGTTGTTATGACATCTGTAAACTGCAGCCGACGGTCTCCACCCCGCCCCCTACACCTCCGTCCAAACACCGGTCCGGGCTCTAACTTGTGAATTCCCCAGACTGTCCATTCCAGCGCGGTTAGGATTTTTACAAGCCACCCCGGCTGTTTCCTCCCTAAGAGCAGCACTAGCTCAGCGCGGCCCACTCCCGCACCCCGCCCGCGCGCGCCGGGTCAAGCCGCGGCGTAGGCTCCGCGCTCGCCTCTTCTCCGCCCCGCTGCCTCGGCGCCCCGCAGTCCCCGGCACCGCTTCCACCCCGCCGCCCCGCCCCGCCCCGCCTCGACCGGCGTTCCTGATGGCGATCACACCAGCGTTCCCCGCCCCCACCTTCCCTCCGCCGACCGTACGGCCGTTAGGACAGCCGGGGCCGTGACGCACGGACGCGCTGCGAGCGTCCGGGCCCAGGCACCCAAGCTCGAGCCACTGCCGGCGCCGGCAATCATCCGCGGGCCTCTCCAGGCTCACGCCGGAGACTACCCGGATCTGCCAGCGGGCGGGGGAGGGGCCGCGGCAGTGGGGGCACCCTCACTCACCGGCTCGAGGCAACCGATCCCGGTGCCACTGCTAGAGTGAGGCGCTCGCTCGCTCGCCCACGGTACCTCTCCCGTGCACAACCTCGAAGAGCCTGCCCGCGCCTCAGCAGTATTCACCAGGCCTCGCTTTCCGCCGCCGCGCACCGAGGAGCAAGACCAGCTCAGCCGGCGTGCGGAGTGCGCCTGCGTGCGGGGGCCGGCCTGCGCGCCTGCGCGCACCCCTCCGCCGCAGAGCCTGCCGGGAAAAGTAGTCTTCCAACGGTCTTTCCCTAGTGGTTGCTAGTGGTTAGCGCCGGTTTAGTGAAGAGTTGGGGTCAGGGAAAGGGTCCGACTTCGGTTTACAGTCCGTGTACAAGGGTGGGAAAGTGGTGTCTATAAACCTGTCTTTACTAAGCTCTTCCAAGGCTGATCGATCCCCCTCACCTCCCTCACGTGGTAATTACCTAAAATAGTTCATGTTTATTAGATGAATGATGGATGGCGTGATTGAAGGCTGAGGGCTTATTTAAAAAGTGACGTCAGTGCCTCGTGTCCAAAGGGTTCACGTGCAGCCCGATTGCAGGAAGCCTCTGGGTTTTTAATTCTTTCCATCCTCTTTGCCTGATACTTTTTAAGTAGTATCAGAAATCATTAAGAATTAATTTTTAACATATGTACTTGTGTTACTCTCAATTAGTGCTTACAAACGAAAATTTTGGTTCCATAATTATTACTATTAAATTTGATGGAATTGTTTTTTTGGGAGAAGCAAATGGAATCGTGGCTTCAAAAAAAGCAAAACTAAAGCCAGCCAAGCAGAGGTGATGGGAAAGTCTCACAGATGGGGTAGTTTTACTGAATCACTTTAAAACACCAAGAAACAAGGTGAAAGAGATGGGGTAGATTAACGCATTTTTACTCCCCCTCCCTGCCTTACTTCCTCTTTCCTCCCATTCCCTCCCTTGGGCCCTTCTCCCTCCCCAACCCCGCATGACCATTCCCCAACCCATGATTCTAAGAAACACACCATGGATTTTTTTTTTTTTTTTTAATCAGAGTTGAGTTTGAGAAAGGAGAAAGAGGGGAAAAAAGTGTTGTATGAGAGAGGCCTAGAGGCAAGCATGCCTGCCACACCCTATTCCAATCAGGAACTAAGACTGATTTTTCAGAGCTGGACTTTACTCAGTTCACCCTTACTCCAAGGTAGGTTCCCAATCAAAGTCTCAGGTATTTACTAGGGCTTGTCCTCTTTGGCAGAGCCTCCTCAGTCCTGAGCAGTCAAAGGCGCTACTCAGTTTTTTAGCCACTGTTCTTAGAATCAGCAGTCAACCCAGGTTTGGAAAAGTGATGGAAAACAGGCTCACTTTTCATGGCACCCTTTTCTTGCACCACCAAATTCTTACTTCCTGGGTACTTTAAATGCATTCATGTTTTTCTATTTTCTCCAGTTGTTCTTAGTGGTGGCAGTGTTGGGCCAAAACAAGAAGGCTATTGCCCAAAGCATAATTCCTCTATAATAGAAAATGTTTGGGGCTGGGGATGTGGCTCAAGTGGTAGCGCGCGCACTCACCTGGCATGCGTGTGGCCCGGTTCGATCCTCAGCACCACATACAAAGAAAGATGTTGTGTCCGTCAAAAACTAAAAAAATAAATATTAAAATTCTCTCTCTCTCTTAAAAAAAGAAAATGTTATCATACCACATGTGGTGCTTTATAAGCTAATGGCTGTCTAGCTAGATTTTTTTTATATTTTGAAAATTTTTTTAAATGTGGAACAATATGCTGAGCACATGCCTGTAATCCCAGCAGCTCAGGAGGCTGAGGCAGGAAGATCCTGAGTTCAAAGCTGAGGTGCTAAGAAACTCGGTGAGATCCTGTCTCTAAATAAAATACAAAATAGGGCTGGGGATGTGGCTCAGTGGTCGAGTGCCCCTGAATTTAGTCTCCAGTACTCCCCCCTCAAAAAAAGTGTAGAACAGTATTTTTTATCATAGTGCTCTTATGAATATCCCTATACATCTACCACCTACAAGGAACCTGCTATATTCTCAAACACAACATATTTAATGTCTAAGATATCCCTCAAGATCTCTGTCCCATAGTGTTGTCCTATGTAATTCCTACCTCTTGAATAAGGATGAGACTTAGAATACAGCAAAGATGATGGGATTTTACTATCATGGTGACATTTCATTATATATGAATTTGTCTTAGCAGTCTTCCTGCTAGCCTTGAAAAGGCAAGTTGTCATGTTGTCAACTGCTTATGGAAAAGGGCACAGGGCAGGGTAGCAGGAAAGCACAGATAACTTGTAGGCCCTGAGTGTAATGGCCCTTAGCTGGGAGCCAATAAGAAGCCAGGGTCCTTAAATAAAACACAAAGAAATTAATTCTGCCAACACAGCCTGAGAGAGTTTAGAAACAGATTCATCCCCAATCAAGCTTCCAGATGGCCTGACTTACACTTTATTGTAGCTTTGTTAGACCTTGAGCAGAGGAACTAAGCTGCACATGGACTCCTGGTCCACATAAACTAAAAGGTAGTAAATGTGTTTTAAGCCACTAGGTTTATGGCAACTTGTTACACAGCAAAAGTAAACTAATATAATAAAATATTACTGGATTATTTCATGAAGTGGTTGTACCAAGTTTTATGCTCCACAAACAGCACAAGATTCTCTTCTCTACACACCCTTGCTAACATTTGGAAATGCCTGACTTTTTAAAATGTTTGCCAACCTAATCGAGGTGGAAATTAAAAATAATATAAACTGTGTTGATGTTATCCTTGAACGTAGAAATATGAAAAATAGGTATTTAATTGAAATCATATATTCTGTTACATGCTATTAAACAAAATAGCAATAGCACTAAAAGTGGACAGAAGTAATAATTAATAGAAATATCAATTAAGTAAATAATAGGTGTGAGAAAATATGACAATATTTTTTATAATGTTTTTGTCCTCTGGTATAGCAATTTAATTCATTATTGCATATTTAAATTTTGTAGGCTATATTTTTCTATATTCTTTTTTTTTAATATTTATTTTTTAGTTTTTTCAGTGGACACAACACCTTTATTTTATTTTTTTTATGTGGTGCTGAGGATTGCACCCAGCGCCCTGCACATGCCTGGCGAGCGCACATCCCCAGCCCTATATTCTTTTTTTTTAAATATTTTTTTTAGGGGCTGGGGATGTGGCTCAAGCGGTAGCGCGCTCGCCTGGCATGCGTGCGGCCCGGGTTCGATCCTCAGCACCACATACCAACAAAGATGTTGTGTCCGCCGAAAAACTAAAAAATAAATATTAAAATTCTCTCCCTCTCTCTCTTTAAAAAAAAAATATATATTTTTTTAGTTGTAGTTGGACACAATACCTTTATTTTATTTATTTATTTTTATATGGTGCTGAGGATCGAACCCAGTGTCTTGCACATGCTAGGCGAGCACTCTACTGCTGAGCCACAACCCCAGCCCCTCTATATTCTTAAGATATGTAAAAAATGTGAGGAATTTTTTAAATGATTTGCACAAATACTTTTTAAAAAAATTTTTTGTAGTTGTAGATGGACAGAATGCCTTTATTTTATTTATTTTTATGTGATTCTAAAGATCAAACCCAGTGCCTCACATACGCTAGGCAAGCGCTCTGCCAATGAACTACAGCCCCAGCCCAATGTGAGGATTTTTTAAAGAAGAAAGTAGCATGTAGCCAGGTATGGAGGTACATACCTGTAATCCCGGTTACTCCAGAGGCTTAATCAATAGGATCACAAGTTCAAGGCCAGCCTGGGCAATTTAGTGAGACCTGTCTCAAAATTTTTTAATAAGGGTTGAGAATGCACTTAGTGATAGAACACTCTCCTAGCATTCATGAAGCACAAGGTTCAATCCTCAATACAAAAAAAAGGAGGAGGAGGATGAGAAGACAATAGATCTAATTAAACAGACATTACCTACAGTAAAATTTTTTTAAATGATTTTGTTTCTTTGTCTCATGATATGATTATTTTTATACTTTGTTTCTTTTTCCATTAATACTTCCCTGAACTGTCTGAAGCCTTCTTTAATATAGTGGTAAAACTGAATACAGTCAAACAAAATTAATTTGACTTAAAGCTCTGCTCTTCTGCCTATATGGCACTGATTCCTGTTGTCAGTTACAAAGTTATGACATTAAGCTAGATTTTCTCTCAACAAGGGTGTCTGAGTATAGAATACTTAGGATTTTATTTACTAGCACAGAAGGTTTTTTCACTTGCAGAAGTTCATTTCCAGCGCTCCAAAGTATCCATCCACTTTGTGTGTACAGTCTGTCAATTGAGTTCTTTGCATCTATAAATTGACTATGTAGGCTCTCTGTATCTGAAATTCCCTTCACTTTAAAAACACTAGGACCACATTGCATGTCCTCATCTTTTCTGCAGGGAAAATGGTTTTTAAGCACAAACATAATATGAAATTGTGAAATTGGAGTTAGATTTCAAATAAGTTTATAGTTTGAGTAAAGAAATTCAGAAAGTTTTGTTAAACTTTGTTGCCTTTTTCTGGGTTTGGGGAAACCCTTATTTTCAAGAAATTCTTTTTTAAAATTTTCTGTTTTTGAAGATTTTTTGCCACCTTCAATAACACTGAACAACTCAAGTCAGTTCTTTTCTGCAATTCTTATGGTCTCTTCAAAGACTATCTGTCCTCTCAGTTTTGCATTACAGGCCTTATACACATGCATGTGAACACCTCAGCCCCCACATCCACATCTATCTCTGTAGTTATTTATTGAGAAGTTTTGTTTTGTTTTTTAATTGGAGATTGAACCCAGGGCCTTGTGTATACTAGGCAAGTGCTCTACCACTGAGGTACATCCCCAGATCACTCTTGATATAGACTGTGGCATAGTCCATACTTGGGAAGAGACCCAAGAAAGAGACCTGGAAGTGGACTCAGCACTGTTTAAGCAGAAAATGTGGGGTTCCAGGTACCTTCTGGGTGGCCTAGGAGTAAATACAGACTCCAGGTGGATCCATTCTCTTGGCTCCCACGGGGGACTTCACCTTGTGATGATGGCCCACTGGAGGAAGAGGCCAGAATGAAATTTTTTTTAATATTTATTTATTTATTTATTTTTAGTACTCGGCAGACACAACATCTTTGTTGGTATGTGGTGCTGAGGATCGAACCCGGGCCGCACGCATGCCAGGGGA